GAATTTTGGATGGCTGTTAACTGTCTTGTGGGTCCTGGGAACAAAACCCAGGTCCTCTGCAAGAACAATCTCCCCAGCTCCCTAAAAACTTAATTGTAAGTCTTACATAGCACAGGCTAACGTGGAACCTGCCATCCTCCTGACTCAGCCTCCTGAATGCTAGGATTCCAGGTGTGCACCACACTGATTTTTAAGTCACATATTTTATAGTTACCAGATGTTCTGCCTTCATCAAAATGTCTCTTTTCCCCCTTTGAGTACTATTTCTAATGTAGCTTTGGAACTCAGTTTTCTGCCCTTAGAGTCAGCTTTGCAATCACAATTGCATATACCGTCTTAGCACCCTCCACGCTATCTTTGTTGTGTTAAGAATGAAGGAGCAGAGGGAGCTGGTGTGCATGCTCACAAAGCGTGGCTTCAGAGCACGAGAAACGAGTTATGCAGGGAATAAGCTGCTAAGAAAGCTTTGGGACTAGGACCAGAATACCAGGGACCAGGCACTGACTAAACTCTAGGGAAAGGGGAATTCAACATAAGGCACAAAGCAACTTTCAGGTAGGTTGAGGGGCGCAGGGCTGGGGAGATGACTCAGTTGGTAAAGTGCTTTCTGCACAAGACCAACCACCTGAGCTTGGATCCCTGGCATTCATAAAAAGCTAGGTATAGGGGGCTGGAGAGATAGCTCAGCGGTTAAGAACACTGGCTGTTCTTGCAGAAGACCCTGGTTCGAATCCCAGCACCCACATGGCAGCTAACAACTGTCTGTAACTCCAGTTCCAGATCCAAGAGCCTCTTCTGACCTCCGTGGGCATTGCACGACACGGGTGCACTTACCTACACGCAGGCAATACACACATACAGTGTGGTAGTGAGCATCTACAACCCTAGGGCCAGGGAGGTGTGGACAAGGATCCCTGGAGCTTCTGGCTAGCCAGTCTAGCCCGACACTGACCCAGGGCTGAGAGACCCTGTTTCAGAGAAGCTGAAGAGCAAGAGGAAGAAACCCAGATGGAACTCTAGCCTCTACATGTGTACACACACACATACATGCACACACACACACACACACACTGATCTTCCACTCTAAAGGATGAGGAGGGAGGAGATGGAAAGGGCCTATAGACTTGAAGAAGGAAATGTGGAAAATATTATTGCCAAGAGAGAAAATAAAGAACCAAGGGAACAGAAGATAATTAAGGGCCCAATTCACTTTTTTTGGGTAATGATTTAAAATAGAAGCACTCAGGTTGAGGCAGAGGATCACCATGAGTTTAAGACCAGCCTGGGCTATGTGGTAAACCCTGCTTCACAGACTGAAAACAAAGAATTTTTAAGTCCTCTGGCTTTTACCAGCAGGGTTAGCTGCTAGGTGAATTTAAAAGTTTGGCTTTTACCAGCAGGGTTAGCTGCTGGTGAATTTAAGTTTTTAGGAAATGTGATTAATCTTGTCAATTTGACTGGCCCTGGAATCAACTAGGAGCTAAGCAGCTGGCCACCTGTAAGGGACTTTCTTGTCAGGTTATTAAGAGTGGGAAGATGTACCCTACATGTGATCAGCACCTTCTGGGGGCAGCCAGAAAAAGAAGGTCCACGGGAAAGCCCTGCATCTGCCTGCTGCCTTCCCATCATGCATCTAGTTCATCTACCATATTGCTGCCGCCGCCACTGCCTCCATGCTGCTCACTGACATCAGAACCCGGTCTCACTGGTTTCCAGTGTAGACTGAAGACCACTGACCCTCCAGGAATCCTCCAGGCCTCAACACCAGACTGGGACTGCTGGCACATTGAGCCACATGGACTGAGCAGGCAGCAGGTTCTCAGTCTCTCCAATGTGGACCAACAATATTCCATTTTGTAAGCCAAGCTAGTAAATCCCCTTTTAACAAATATTCATTCTGTCAGCTCTGCTCTGCTAAAGAACACTGACTGATACAGGAAACTTTCCGACTTTATTTTTCTTAGTGTTTTCACTATTTAAGTCAAATGCTCTAGAGTTTCTTTCTCATCTTAGTACTTTCAGGTCATTTAAGTTGAACACTTAAAATATTTCGTTTATGTGTGTGTGTGACTGGGTATGTGCATATACCACTTGTGTGGGCAGTTGTGAACTGCCATGTGGGTGCTGGGATTCAAACTCAGGTCCTCTGGAAGAGCAAGTGCTCTTAAGCACTGAGCCATCTCTCCCGACCAAGGTAAAACCCTTTATGTTTTATTTTTCTTATTAATGCTTCCATAGTATGTGAATCAAAAGACTTTACTTTTGTTAACCAACTCCTAATTGGACTAAACTGTAATGAAATCATAACGTGTTTGATTAGCTAATGGTCAAAAGATTAGGTTAGAAGGCTGCAAGTGTAATGGGTGACTCACTAGGGTAGATGGGTGCCGCTGGAATGTACACACTGGGCTTTTCTACAACTGTGCCACCATCTTGCCTCTGCTACTTCGTCCCTCTATTTCACAGGCGTCATTCACCCTCTCCATCAGTCCTTACTCAGCACTCTGACATGCCAGGCACTGTTATATACGCAGAGGCTCCATAATGAACAGAAAAGACGAGGCTTCTGCAGCTTTCCTGGAACTCAAGTTCCAACACAGGCAGACGATAACAATAATAAAAACAGCCAGTATTCAGCTAAGCCAAGCTAGTAAATCCCCTTTTAACAAATATTCATTCTGTCAGCTCTGCTCTGCTAAAGAACACTGACTGATACAGGAAACTTTCCGACTTTATTTTTCTTAGTGTTTTCACTATTTAAGTCAAATGCTCTAGAGTTTCTTTCTCATCTTAGTACTTTCAGGTCATTTAAGTTGAACACTTAAAATATTTCGTTTATGTGTGTATGTGTGTGACTGGGTATGTGCATATACCACTTGTGTGGGCAGTTGTGAACTGCCATGTGGGTGCTGGGATTCAAACTCAGGTCCTCTGGAAGAGCAAGTGCTCTTAAGCACTGAGCCATCTCTCCCGACCAAGGTAAAACCCTTTATGTTTTATTTTTCTTATTAATGCTTCCATAGTATGTGAATCAAAAGACTTTACTTTTGTTAACCAACTCCTAATTGGACTAAACTGTAATGAAATCATAACGTGTTTGATTAGCTAATGGTCAAAAGATTAGGTTAGAAGGCTGCAAGTGTAATGGGTGACTCACTAGGGTAGATGGGTGCCGCTGGAATGTACACACTGGGCTTTTCTACAACTGTGCCACCATCTTGCCTCTGCTACTTTGTCCCTCTATTTCACAGGCATCATTCACCCTCTCCATCAGTCCTTACTCAGCACTCTGACATGCCAGGCATTGTTATATACGCAGAGGCTCCATAATGAATAAAAAAGACGGCTTCTGCAGAGCTTTCCTGGAACTCAAGTTCCAACACAGGCAGACGATAACAATATTAATAAAAACAGCCAGTATTCAGCTGGGTGTGGTGGCACATGCCTTTAGTCCCAGCACTCAGGAGGCAGATCTCTGTGAGTTCCAGGCCAGCTGGGGCTACGGGGAGACCCTATAGCAAAAAGACAAAAAAAAAAAAAAAAGCCAATATTCACTTAGCAAGTACTACTTACTGGATAGTTCTAAGTACTTTACACGTATTTATGTAATCATCACACTAACCTTATGAATCATTTCTATTTCTGCACAAGGAAACAGAGGGCACAAAGAGGGAACATAATTTGTCCATGTGTTGACTGTGGGGCAGACTGGAATTCAGAAGCAGGTAGCTCTCCCAAAGCTTTGCCACTCAGACCAAAAGAATGGTGTGTGGAAGAGGTAAATTGTCAGTCCTGGAAGAGGTAAATGGTGTGTGGAACAGGTAGCTGTTGTTACAAAAATATGACCTGGGTGAAGTGATGGTGTATGTGCAAGAGGGATTGGCACAAAGCAGATGCTGCGCAAAATCCCAGAGGAGGGATTGACATTGCGCCAAGACCTGAACAGAGGTAATACAGCTGTCTTGGAGCAGAGGTGAACAAAAGTTAGTGCAAGAGTTTAAAAAGCAGAGGAGGGGCTGGGGAGATGGGTCAGGGGTTAAGAGCCATGGCTGCTCTTCCAGAGGACCTGGTTCAGTTCCTAGCACCCACATGACAGCTAGTAACCATCCCTAATTCCAGTCCCAGGGATCCAATGCCCCTTCTGGTCTTCACAGGTATTGCACACATGAAAGTGCATTTACACACATGCATGCAAAACACAAAATAAAAATAAAACCTTAGTGCCCCCCACCCCAAGGGTGCATGCCTGTAATCCCAGCACTCAGGAGGCTGTAGCAAGAAATGGGGAGTTTTAGGCAAGGTTAGGATATGGTATTTCAACTCAGGGCCACTTTGGGCTACACAGCAAAAGCTCGTCTCAAAATAAAAAAGGAATCTTGCCCTGTTCAGAAGTTCACTTGGAGGCAATTACAGCCCAAGAGGAAAATGGCGGCCTGGTTGAGGCCCTGACAGGAAAGGAACTTCAGGGTGAATTTTGAGAAACAGGTGAAACATAGCAAGTGAGCAGGATGTAAAGGTGGAAAGGAAGCCGGGTTTCAGGTCGGAATCACTTGTGTGATGGGGATCTTCAAGATGTGAGAGGACGGGGCTGAAGAGATGGCTCAGCAGTTAAGAGCACTGGCACCCAGAGGACCTGGGCTCGATTCCCAGCACCCACATGGTGGCTAATAACCACCTGTAACTCCAGTTCCAGAGAATCCAATGCTGTGGGTGACCTCGGGCACTTTATGACATGGAAGCACTTACATACATGCAGGCAATACAGTCATACACATGGTAAGTAAAAGTAATAAAATATATTTCAGGATGCTCAGTGAGGCTGAGGAAGCCCTTCCCTTTAAATGTGGTGTTTCCTAAGGTTACTCACTTAAACGTCTTACTAGATCTGTCTACTTACTGTGCACCTACTACGTGCCAAGACCTTGGAGATGAGACGAGGCCGACTGCACCAAAAACTCCCTGCTGAGTGCTCCTTCTCAAGCGCTGGAGGAACACCAGCTGGCTGACTGTTCTCACTACAACTTCACGTGACACGGATGCAGTTCATTCCCTTGGCTCATCCCCCTTAGCGCTTTCTGACGTCAAGGCTAGCACTCCAGCCGTCAGCTCTGACTGCTCCCTGAGGTTAAGGCAGGTGCTCCGCCCCTATGCTCGGTGCTCCACAGGGAAGGTGCTCTATCCCTCTGCTCACAGTGTTCCCCAGGGCAGGGCAGACGCTCTGTCCCTCTGCTCTCGGTGCTCCCCAAGGCAGGGCAGACGCTCTATCCCTCTGGTCTCGATGCTCCCCAGGGCAGGGCGGACGTTCTATCCCTCTACTCTCGATGCTCCCCAGGGCAGGGTAGTACTACGCCCGCAGCACTCGGTGCTCCCCAGGTACCTCCAAGCCGGCTCCTTCACCGCGGCTTGGAGCACTCCCGGCGCGCGCGGTCCTCTCGGCCCTATCAGGACGCAATCCCGGCGCCTTGGTGCTCGGTGCTCAGTCCTCTCTTCTTGGTCCTCGCAGCACCGCCGAGGGGCCTGGGGGCTGGGAAGGAAAGACGGAAAGGTTAAGTAAGCACCCTGCAGTGGAGGCACCAAGTCTCCGAGCACAGGCCCAAACGCCCGCCCCCTCAGCAGTTCTGGCCCTGCCCGTGACGTCACGCCGGCTTCCTACGGGGTGCCTGCTGGAGGGTAGCCGGCCTCGAAGGGCGGTTACGGCGCCCGGCTGCTTCCGGAGCTCCAATATGCGCTTCACTCGCCGAGGCCGGAAGTGCGGGGGTTTTGCTTCTGGGTCCTAACCGCGCCTCGGGCACCGCGGGTTGGACGTTCGGCGTTCGTTTCCGGGTCGTGGCGCCGCTGCGCGGGGACTGCTGGGAGCCGAGAGCCGCTATGGTCTGTGGATGAGTGCTCCTGCCGCTGCCAGGGAGTCGGCCGGGGTGAGCGGCGGGCCAGGAAATCGGGCGGAGGGCGGGACGGCGGGCGGAGGGCCGGGAAGTCGGGCGGAGGGCCGGGAAATCGGGCGGAGGGCGGGACGACGGGCCGAGGGCGGGCGGAGGGCGGGGAAGTCGGGCGCAGGGCCGGGATGGCGGGGCGGAGGGCCGGGACGGCGGGCGGAGGGCCGCGAGCGGGGGACCCGGTTTCCCACACCTCCAGACTGGTTTCTTGAGCTAATGGCGTTGACAGGTTTGTTTACTATTGTCGCCGTGACGTGCCCTCGGGGGCAGAAGACGGTGTCGGAGCCCGGAGCTGGAGCCTGAGCTGCCCGGTGTGGGCGCTGGGGTGAGTCGCAGCCGCTGTGAGTTGCGGGTGTGGGTGCTGGGAGCAGAAGGCAGTCCTCTGGGTGAGCAGTGCCCTTCATGGGAGCCATGTCGAGCTAATGTAGTTTTAGTGGCCGTGTGGCCATCAGGATCCTTCTGACGCCCCAACTGACCGTGACCTCGGGAATGGTTTCTGTTGTTGCTGTTGCGACAACGCCGTGGAGCAGGGGCTAGCCTGGTGGAGCTGCCTCCACCTCCCGAGCTGGGATGGCAGGGGCACCCAGCACACCCGCTCCAGTTCTTGAGGTTTGGGTCCTGGCCCTGGGGTGGGTCCACGTGTGTGTTCCTCGTTGTCGCCTCGAGGCCTTCTGGATAGCATCGGAGCAGCTGCGGAGACATTGAGAGGCCTGTGGAGGGGGTGACCTACCTCATCTCAGACTCTAACTTGTCAGTGACTGGCTTATTTGCTGTTGTGTGAAGTTTTCCATAAAAACGGAAATCTTAGAGAATCTGGTAGGATAAGAATTTAAAAATGGGCTGGAGAGGTGGCTCAGCGTTAAGAGCACTAGCTGCTCTTGCAGAGGACCGGGGTTCAGTTCTCAGCACCCACGGGGAGAACAACTGTCCATAAACTCCAGTTCCAGGGGATCAACACCCTCTTCTGACCACAGGCATCAGGTGACATGGGTGCACATACACACATGCAGGGAATACACTCATACACAGAAAATAAAAATAATAAAAAATTTTGAAAAGAATTTTAAAACTTAGTTACAGCAGTCTTCAGCATTGTACAAGGCCTGCATCATCGTATATCAGAATTGTTAGAATCCTGAGCAACATCCCCATTGCACGGTTGACTAAACAAGTAGGCACCACAAAGCCAGAACAGGAACAGACTCGGGTCTCTGTGGACAAGTTTTTTTGTAGTAAAAGCTGCCTGACAAAGAATATCCTTAGTATACTATGAGTTTTTTTAAAAATCTTATTTTCTTAGACTTGTGTTTAATAAAATTATTTGGATAATTTTGGGGAAGGGGTTTTGGGACTAGATACTGATGAAATTTACAATGACAGTTCTGTGAATATAACTTGAAACTTTCTTTTTTTTTTTTTTGTCAAAGAATAAAAGATGACCACAGCAGCCAGGCCAACTTTTGAGCCTGCAAGAGGTGGACGGGGGAAAGGAGAAGGGGATTTGAGCCAGCTCTCAAAGCAGTATTCGAGCCGAGACCTTCCCTCCCACACAAAGATAAAATACAGGTAATGAAGACTCTCCTCATCGTGTCTGAGCTGTTCCATTTACCTGTCTTCAGAGAGAGAGTCTGCAAAAGAGAGCTTTGCAGTACAATTATGCTTTGTGGTTTAAAGTGCTACCAGGTATTCCTTGAGCAGAAATCCTATTAACCAGGAAGTTTGGAATTTTTGTATGCAGAGAATTCAGTAACTAATTACCACCTCAGTGAGACCTTCCTGTCAGCACTAGTGACTGTGAAAGAACTGCTGTAGCATGCCCTTGAGTTGGTCGCATACTAACAAGAAGTCGTTCTAACTAATCTGCAGCCATATTGAGGGAAAGTATGAGCTGTAGCTCTAGAAATGCTGAAGACACCAGAGGTTCCTGTCAACTAGAATAAGTTCTTACTTGTCCTGGTTTACACCTGAGCGTGCATTCATGAACTCTCTTCCATGGCTCTAGGCATGTGGGCCTTTCTGTTGCAAGGGAGGGTAGCAGTCTTACCCTGGTTTCCTTCTACTTCAGACAAACTACTCAGGATGCCCCTGAAGAGGTCCGGAACCGTGACTTCAGGAGAGAGCTGGAAGAGAGAGAGCGAGCTGCTGCACGGGAGAAAAATAGGGATCGCCCAACCCGAGGTATCTATACTGCCCAGACATTTGTCTCAAAATCATGTGGCATGGGCCTGAAATTTTTGTGTTGTAATTGGAAAGTTGAACATTTTGTGAACTAAACCACTTGGTCAAACGATTAGAGATGATAATGAAATCATTCCAGTTCCATCTTTTCGAATGCGTAGGTGCTGGAAGACAGTGAGGCATAGGTATTCGACAGCCCTGGTTTCAGTGAAGATCAGTTGTTTTGACTTGATGGTAGCCAGACCCCAGGGTCTCTGTTGAGGTGCTCTTCCATTTCTGTGATGCTACTGCAGAGGACTGAGAGGCTTCAGCCATCTTGCCTGTGTTTCTAGTGCATATAAAAAGTCTCCACATTTCCTGAGAGAGAACTCTGGCTCTCACAAAGTATAGATTCTTTTTGTCTAAAACATTATTTAAAATGCAGTATTTATTTCAGTAAGGTAAATATTTACTTTTTTTCCAGAGCATACAACTTCCTCTTCAGTGTCTAAGAAGCCCCGCTTGGACCAGATTCCTGCTGCCAACCTTGATGCTGATGACCCTCTAACAGATGTATGCAGGGGGTGATTGGGTTTGGTTGGTTTCTTGACCGCCCAGGTGCTGAGATTGTGAGCATTCACCATTGGGCCTGGCTCGTCCTTTCCTGAAGTTCTTTTTTATATTTTGACTTTATGAAATGACCTATGTTTAGTTTTACTTAGTGTTACTCAAATATCCTCACTGACCTCAACTTTAGACTTCACAGTTGATTTTAAAACAAAAGGTATTACTTTGTGTTAAGGACTTCTAGAACAAGTTTCATTTCTAGAGAACTGGATACAGAGACAGTCCATTAAAAGACACTCTCCAAAAGAGCTGCTGGCGGTGCAGGAGGCTAAGTAAAGCTGAGGCCCTTAGGAACTGCACCCTTGAGAGTCCTCCCAGTTCTGCCCTTTAGTCTCTTCCTTGATGCCCCCTTCAGACTTGTGCTGCAGCTACCTCGGTGCTTAGGGAGGGAGGTGGTCTCAACAGATTTAACTTTACAATTAAGAGGGACCCTACAACCTTTTCTGTCATATGTGGCCCAGGCTGGCCTATGTTCACCACCTTCTTGCCTCTACCTCCCGAGCTCTGGGATTACAAATGTGCTCTACTCTGCCTGGTTCCTGTGTCTTTTAAAAAATATTTTTAAAATTATTTTTACATGTATGAATGTTTTGCCTGCATGTATCTAAGTGCACCCATGTTGTGCAATGCCTGTGGAGGTCAGAAGAGGGTATCAGATCCCCTGGAGCTACAATTATGAACAGTAGTTAGTGGCCATGTGTGTGCTGGGAATCGAATATGGGTCCTCTGCAAGAGCAGCCAGTGCTCTTAACCACTGAGCTGGCCCCGGCTACTATGTCTTTACTTTGCAGTTTTCTTTATAACTGAGCATACCTGAGTAGCCTTTCATGAGTTGTGTCTAATTGAACACACGCCAGCAGTTCTAGGACTGACCGATGTTAGAAGAAGCCCAGCTTGAAGTGAGGATCAGTTACACATGCCCAGTTGTTCTCACTGGGGGTCTTCACACCTTTTCAGCACGTTGCTTGTCCTCCCTCGCTTACATTGTTCGGAGCTCCGTGAAGTTAGTCTGAGCCTGGTGTGATACACTGCATAGCACTGTGTTTCATCATGAGACATCCCTGTTTCAAAACGTTCTCACGTAAAAGATCCTTTTTGACCATGCACACATGAAAGGCTATCAGGGGTGGAAGTACAGGAAGTGTTCCATACATTTTTTTCTTGGACTTTGTCATATTTAGTTGCTGTTCATTTTAATCGTGTTATTAGGTACCGTGTTTTCCCACCAGGAAAATTAACTCTATTTGAAAGATATGGTAAGTGCGGTTTTTATGGGGAAGACAAATAGTGTCTATTTTCTCTCTGATCTCCTGGATCACCACTGTCCTTCAGGAGGAAGATGAAGACTTTGAAGAGGAGAGTGATGACGACGACACTGCAGCTCTTCTTGCAGAGCTGGAGAAGATTAAAAAAGAGAGAGCTGAAGAGCAGGCCAGGAAGGTAAGGCTGGAGAGCAGGCTAGGAAGGTAAGGCTGGAGAGAGCAGGCTAGGAAGGTAAGGCTGGAGAGCAGGCTAGGAAGGTAAGGCTGGAGAGAGCAGGCTAGGAAGGTAAAGCTGAAGTTGGATTTACCCTTCGACACCACACAGTCTGAAGTCAGGATTTTTCTTTTTTCTTTTTTTTTTTTGTCTCAGGTATCGTTATCTTTTATTAAAAAGCACTGTGTCTAAATGTTTTAACACCTATAGATTAATAAGTCTTTTTTAAGACATTCTAAGTTCTCTGGTTATACTGAAAATTCCTTTGATATAGTTCAGACATGCTGAACACTCATCAGTGTGCTTGTGTTCGCTGATTGGTTCTCTGTTTAGTATTTATTAAATGTCAGAAGAATTGAAGGTGATCTAGTTACGGTCTGCAGAGATTCTCTTGCCTCCTGCCTAGACATTTGAGACACTCCATCAACAGATTTATTCAATCCAGGGCAAGCTATCTAACTTGTTTAAACTTCTAGTCTCTCCACTTATACAGTGGGAGAAAGTGATGTCTAACTCAAAGGGTTGGGACTTGAAACTGGGTCCCAACACTGTGAAGACTGAGGTGGAGTTGCAAGTTTGAGGCCAGCCTGGGCTACAGAGTGAGACTATCTCAGGAAAGGTATGAAGGTGGGCGGGAGTCCTGGAGGTTTGTAAACCAAGAGTGAAAAGACCTGATTTTGTTCTGAAGGGTCCATGGAGCTGGTTGATTCAGCAAGATCAGTTGATTTCTTCTGGCAAAAGTAGAGAAGCATTGGGAAAAAACAAACTAGGTTTAAATAATCTTCAGGGCCCTGAGAACTGTAATTTGCATAAGAGTCCTGGTCTGGCTGTGGGGAGAGGTGGATGAAGCTGTTGTGGCAGCAGAAATTACCCCACTGGGTGCCTTGGTGCCTCACATGGGAAACAGAAGACTGGCTCTGTTGAGACAAAGAGAGGTGTTGATCTGAGTCTTCCAGCCTGTGGGACATTCAGGTAGAGCTGTCTGCTTCATGAAACCAGAGTAGCACAGCATCATTTTGGTTTTGTTTTTATGGACTTTGGTGTAAGATTTCGTTTAGGTCACGAGTTGTTCTGGTTTTAAAAAGACTTGAGGGAAAGGCACTCACATTGGCTGGGGCTAAGAATCTAGGGAAGTAGAGTTCATGTGCATCAGAAGGCCAAGGAGAATTCAGGAAGAGGAGTTTGACTAGACTCAGACTGCTGAGTTCAGCTTGGAAGAAGAAAAGTCTTTTCAAATACGATCCTCACTGTGGTTTGGTGTGGAGAGCGTGTTTCCTGTCACAGTTGGTCAGTTTTATGTCTTTTACCTTTTCAGGAACAGTCTCAGTGACATTGGCATACCACCTAAGGAAGCTGTTCTAGGTTTTTTTCGGATTGCTAACCTCTGGCTACAGTCACCCGGTGACTACTAAGGACATACATTTTTAAAGGTCTTACAGTTACTGGAGTTCGATCTAATCTCTGTACAAAATGTGTTGGTGTTTCATGGAGTTTCGAGACAGCTTTATCTCTTCTGACCCTCTTGTCCCTTCTGAGCTGGTTTGAGGTGTCCAGAGTAGCACTTTGAAGCTAGTTGGCGTGTGTCAGAGATCAGCATGCTTTCCTATAAAGGCCAGATAGTAAATGTTCTAGACTGGCTGGTCATCCAGCCATGTTGGAACTCCTGCACCCCAGTTACAGCACAGAGGCCGCCACAACACCCACATGAACAGGGGTGGCTGTGTTCCCACAAAGTATTAATTCTCAAGCCTGGAGAAAGGACTTGTATTTTAATTTTAACTTATTTTTTACATTTTATTTATTTTGGCAGGGTGGGGGTGCACATGCCTTGGCACGCGTGTGGAGGTTAAAGGACAACTTGTGACACCTTTTCTCCTTCTACCCTGTGGGTCTCAAGTTGTCAGGCTTGACAGCTAGTGCCTTTACTCACTGAGCCATCTCGCTGGCCCCAAACATCAGTCTGTAGTTTTTAGAAAACTATCTGATTTTAATCTTAATAGAGAGGTAGTTCCTAACTTTAAGGTCTCTGCAGTGGCCTAAAAGAATTTACCTGTTTATTTCATACAAGGGAAACCCATTTTCTTTAGAATTACAAATTAAAATTTATGAGTGGGTATCCTGGTGAAGATGAAATCCGCTGTTCACATTTGCACATTAAAATGAACTATCAGAAGCCCAGCACAGGCTCCAACAAGTCTAATCCCAGCACTGGAGAGGCACAGGCAGGTGGAGCTCTCCATATTCAAGGCCGGCCTGGTCTACATAGCGAGGTCCAAGCCAGCCAGGGCTGTATAGTAAGAGCCTGACTCAACCAATTAATCAAAAAAGTATCAGAAAATATATGGAAAATTAGGTTTATTTTAAGGCGTCTTCTGAAGAGTCTTAAAAATGTTTTTATTTTATATATATGAGTGCTTTGCCTGCATGTATGTAAGCGTACCATGTGTATAGTGCCCACAGAGGCCAGAAGAGGGTGTCGGATCCCGTGGAACTAGAGTTACGGATGGTTGATAGGTTATTAGCCACCATGTGGGTGCTAGAAATCAAACCCAGGTCCTCTGGAAGAGCAGCAAGTGTTCTTAACTGCTGAGCCATATCTCCAGCCCCTTCTGAAGAGTCTTTATCCTTGATCTATTAAGTCATCCCCAAAGTACAGCAAAATAGGATTTATATTTGGTTGAAGCTATGCTAACAGCTGTAAAAATTTAGGGAAGAATTTTAGAAAGTTAAAGTTTCTAATTCTTAAAATGGAACTGATGTGAGTTTGAAGAATTACATGCTAAAATAAAATTGAAGAAAATAAGCCAGACTTGGAGGTCCGTGACCGCAACCCTGACATTCCGAGGCTGAGGTGAGAGAATCATAAATTCAAGCCCAAACTGGGCTAACATTGAAAGCTTGCGTCTTTAAGAAAAATGTAGAGTGGACAAGATGGTTCAGCAGGTAGAATTTGATCCCCAGAGCCCACATGGTGGAAGGGAGCGAGCCTGTTCCTCAAGTTGTCTTCTGACCGCCGCATGTGCACTGTGGCACGTGTATATCACCCCCACCACACACAATCACTAAATAGGTGTAAAAATATTTTTTAAAAATAAAGTGCTAGAGAGATGCCAGCTAAGAACACTTGCTGCTCTTGTAGAAAACCCAGTTTTAGGGGCTGGAGAGATGGCTCAGCGGTTAAGAGGACCTGGGTTCAATTCTCAGCACCCACATGGCAAGTAACAGTGCCCTCTTCTGGCCTCTGTGGGCATTGCATAACATAGGCGCACTTACAGACATGTAGGCGGTATGCCCATAAAACATAACGTTTGAAATAAAGATAACCCAGTTTTAGTTCCCAGCACCCACATGGCAGCTCACAACTATCTGTAACTCCAGTTCCAGGAGCTCCAGTGCCCTCTTCTAGTTTCCACGGTCATTGTACACACGGGTACACTTACATACATGCAGGCAAAACACATAAAAATAAATCAATAAAGAAATTTTTAAAATTAATTTTCTTTGATTTACTTATTATTGGAACTGAAGTTTCAGACGGTTTATAGCCGCCACGTGGTGCTCGGAACTGAACCCGGGTCCTCTGCAAAAGCAGCCAGTGCTCTTAACCACTGAGCCACCTCTCCATCCCTAGAAAATTGTTTTTAAAAAAAGTTAGGTTTGCTAAATGTGTTTTCTTTGATAACATAATCTTAAATTATGAGTATGGTTACTGACACTCATAAATTTTAATTTGTAATTCTAAAGAAAATGGGTTTGATGTGCATCTTGTCTCCTCACAGTTCAGTGACTCTGATGGCAAGGGTTAGATATTTGCGATAAAGTTGGTGAATTTTTATTTCGATAAACAAGACTGTGGTATCTCCTAAGAATAGAAAAGAGACTGTGAATGTGGTTCACTTGGTAGAGTGCTTACCTAGCATGCAGCAAGCCCTGGGTCCCATTCCTAGCACTGTGTAAAGGAGCATAGTGCTGTACCCCAGTAATGCATTCAGGAGGTGGGAATGGGAGGATCAGAAGTTCAAAGCCACCCTCTGCTACCTAGCCAGTTCGGGGCCAGCTTGGGCTACATGAGACCCTGTCTCACGGACGAAGAAGAAAGGGAGAAGGAAATCCAAGGCTATTTACTCCCCCAGTACGGCCCTCACAGACTTGTTTGTTGAACAAGTATAAGAAGATTGACCCGGCGTTAACGTGACCTATGTCTTCCTTTGTCATTGACAGGAGCAGGAACAAAAAGCAGAGGAAGAAAGGATCCGAATGGAAAATATTCTGAGTGGAAACCCTCTCCTTAACCTCACCGGCCCATCCCAGCCTCAGGCCAACTTCAAGGTTAAAAGAAGGTACTATATGGGTTGATCTGCATATAGATCATGAGTTGTACAACAGAGTGCGATGTAAGCTTCCAAGATCCCACCTCCCACTGATGGAATCTCAGACCTTAGAACAGTGGACGAAGGAAATGTGCTCATTTAATGCGTACTAATTACTAGCTCTGTGCCTAGGAACCATCTGGGGGAGAGACTTCGAGATGAAGGTAGCCCGTGGCTGGTCACATGGCTTAGGTGTGAGGGATGGTTGTTCAGGGCCTGAGACTGCCCCTCACACTCCAGTACTAGAAGGGTTCCGTTGGGGGTTTGCTCGATTCACGGTTGATGTCGTAGTGTACACGGACAGACACACTGTACTTATTTCTGACAGTGTAAAGATACACAGCCAGATTGTGGGGGAAAGACAAAGGCAGGAAGTTGTACAGGCTTCCTGAAACTCCCATAAGAGGGAACAGAACAGAGAAAGCTCAGCCGTGTTTCTGCCCGGGTCATCGCACTGGAGACTGGGTGCTCAAGGTTACTGATCCTGTCCTTGGGCACGAGGCATGCTGCTTGCTGTATACGCTAGGCACAGAGATGGTGGGAAAGTGCCTGAGGCACAGCTTTCCAAATGCCAGCCGAGGCTGACCTAAGCTGAGGCCGTGTGTCTGCTCTTACTGTGGAGGAGTGACGTAGAGGCTGAAGGGACTGCGCACAAGTGCTGCGAACAGAAGATCCTAGGAAAGTGAAGCTGACGTGGTGTGGTGCGGGAGACGCTGACTGGGGGAGACCACTGTGTCTGTGAGGTCCAGGATCCCTCCTGATGGCCTCGTAACCTTCCCCCACTCCACGTCACTGCTGCACTGTGCCAGCCGCCCTCCCGCACCCCGCCCTAGCACCTTGGTTCTTTTAAAGTTACAGTAATGCTGCAGTCCTTGCGATGACCTGTAAACTAAAGATTTAATGCACTCACAGAGAGGACAGCACAGTCTAGGGAGGGTTTGCTGACAAGCTAACAATTCATTGGACACCAGACTCCCAAAATTTGGCTTCAGCAATTGCAAGGCCAAGGAATGGGGCTAATGAGGGAGGAAGAGGAAGCAGATTTCAGCTTGCTGAGTTGCTGCATCTCTGAGTAGGTCTAGCTTGATATGTTTCTGCAGTTGGTCCAAGCTGGGAGTAATGCATTTGGGAGTTGCCAGCTTGTCAGGTTGGTTGATTGGTCAGTTGGTTCGGCGCTGAGAGGAATCCCCTGGGAATCTCTAGCTAGAGAGAAGTTAAGAGTGAGCCTGGTCTAATCAGGAATAGTGTCTTGTACATGTATATAGTGAGCACCTAATAGCATTTCAGTTTTCAAAATCCCAATCTGAGCTTAAACACCCAGTGAAGAGAGCTAAGAGATTTGGCGTTTAGGAGACCAGCACACTTTCCACAGGAATGATGGTCTAGAACAGCGCTGTGAGCACAGGCAGACTGGGATCTTAGCGATGTGGAGGGCAGTTTGGGTGTTGGGAGCAAGGGGCCAAGACCCCTCGGGAGTGAGTTGGGAAGAAAAACTATCAATTACGTGTCAATGTGAAGCGATGCAGTTCGGCTCCCGTTCGGTGGAGGGGAAGCGGCCTGCCGCACTGCTACAGTGCTCAGCGTCTCACATGTATGTTGCATCAGGACAGTTTACTGACACCATTTCCAAAAGGGCACACATCCTTTGTCTGTTTCCCTTGTGATTTCCAGTCAAGCTGTGTGCTGAGCTCTTTGCAGGCATTTCCCCATGATTAGTGTAGACTGGTCCAGAATGTGTCTAATTGTTACATGCCAATAGTTCCTTCCTCTGTTGAGTTAGGATGTGTGCCATGATGGATGTACCACGTTAGCTGAGTAGAGGGTTATGAACTCTTCAAAGCACTCCCTAGTGATGTCTGTGTCTGGTGGTCCTCTTCCGCTTAAGCCGGACAATATTGCACATTCATGTGACTAAAGTCTGTGTCTGCTTCGTAACCCAAAGCTGCTTTTCCAGGAGATACTGTTCTGTGTTCTGAGGAGGAATCGCCCTCCTGTCATGCTCAGGCATGCATTGGGGATGCGTGTTCTGTCAAGTGGACGTGTGTGGAGCATGTTTCTGTGTGCTGTTCTTAATCTCCAGATACAAGCAGTGTAACGGGTTATTTTCCTTTCTCCCTTTAGGTGGGACGATGACGTTGTTTTTAAGAACTGTGCAAAAGGTGTGGATGATCAGAAGAAAGACAAAAGATTTGTGAACGACACACTGCGGTCTGAATTCCACAAAAAGTTCATGGAGAAATACATTAAGTAGTACAGTTTTATGTGCTTAATCAAAGACTGGAATGTCAAGCGTCAGTTTGACTCTGTTTTTGTTCTTTTCACCGTATAAAGGACATTTTAACTTCCCTTTGTGATGCCTTATTTGGTAACACACTTGGGAATGGGTTTGACCCAGTTTCCATCTGTTTCCATCATGTCTCTTTAGTATGGGGAAAGGGAATCTGCTTACAATAAATATTTTTAGCCTAAACAAACTGATGTCCCCAACATTTTGTTGTAATTTGCATAGCTTAAAAACGTTGCATAATTTCCTTTCAAAATGAAAATTACCTTTGTGTGTTCTGTTTTGTTAATACATTAAATTTTCCTCTTTTGTCATTTTAATTTACCAGAAATTGATGGGTTGGTGGGCGCTCTTGCTGTGTGTTTTTAAGAGTGTTGGGGGATGGGAGGTTCCCGTTCAGAGCACATGTTGGTATGGAGAGTCGAGAGTCACCATTGATAAATACCCAGTGAAGGAATTTACAGGTATCCACTACCAGGCCCAACTCAAACCTTTTAAAATAAAGTGGTTTGCTGCTTTAATCTCTTGCTGTTTCTTTAAGTCCTTTTCTTTAAAAACTTGTTAATTCGAAGGCTGAAGAGATGGCTCAGTGGTTAAGGCACCGATTGCTCTTGCAGAAGGTGTTCGGTTTCCATCACCCACACCTGGCAACTTATAACCTCTTGTAACTCCAGTTCCGGGGGATCCAGTGCCCTCTTCTGACATCCATAGGTCCCCATATGTACCTGCATAACACGCACACCATAGCACGCACACACACACACACACACACACACACACACACACACACACACGTAAAAACTTAAGAAAGTAACAGTACTCCAGCATTTCCCAGGGTAAAGTTCAGACATAGCTCATATGTGGCCCGAGTTGGCATAAAGCTGGGAAGGAGGTCAGGTTTGGGTTTATCTCAGCATTTTTCAAATGGAGTTATTTACATAAAATTTTGAGTATTTTGATACCAGTTTTTTCATATTTCCATTTGCGTGCGTGCGTGCTATAAAAATACACGAGGCAGGGGCTGGAGAGACGGCACAGCAGTTAGAGCACTGGCAGCTCTTGGAGAGGACCCAGGTTCAGTTTTCAGCACCCACATGGCAGCTAACAACTATCCATAACTCCAGTTCCAGGAGGTCTAAGCCCCTCTTGCCCCTGTGGACATTGCATACGTGTGCTGCACATGTATACATGTAGGCAAACCCTATATACATAAAAATGAAAATTTAAAGAGATGTGAGGCTGCTCACTTATAGAGAAAAGTTGAAGATTTTGGGGGCAGGGGGCATTTGAGACAGGGTCTCCCTATAGCCCCAGCTGGCCTGAAACCTCTATGTAGACCAGGCTGGCCTCCATCCTCACAGAGATCTACCTCTAAGTGATGGAAGTAGAGGTGTGTGCCGCCAAGCCCAACCAGCGGAAGTTTTTGTTCTTAGCGTTTACTCATCTGAGGGGCAGGGGAGCGTGTGTGTGCCATCGCACATGTGGAGACAGCTTTCGAGAACTTTTATCATGTGCATACAAGGGATCATACTAGGGTTGTCGGGCCAGGCAAAAATCACCTTTGGTCACTGAGCCATCTCGGAACCTCCAGGACGTTTCTTAAGCTGCAGTTTGGAAAGCTGGAAGTCCAAACATGCTAACACAGGCAAACATGCTAACACAGGCCCTGAAGATTGTGCCCCCTGGTGGCTGTGGCAGGTGGCTGCCTTGCTAACCACCCCAGGCAGCAAGTGGCAGGAGATAGCATAGATCTGGTTCCTCTGTGCTTCGGGGTGTGGTCTTCCTCTTCTGATAAATCGACCAGGATTCAGTCTGACGCTCCCCTGAGGACCTGCTGTAAGCAGAGGTCTGGTGGGACATGCCTTTAATCCCAGAAGTGGGGAGGCAGAGGTAGGCAGATCCCTCCAAGATGAGGCTTCTGGGAGACCCTGTCTTTAAAACAAACCAAAGCAGAGCTGGAAAGTCCTAGAAACAGACCCTTCCGGGTTGTTTCAGAAGCCCAGTTGCAGGGAGCAGGGAGGCGCTTGTCCTAACCTGTGAGTGCCTTAGAAACAGGACTAATTGCAGGGACCCACTCCCGGGGGAGACCGGAACAGGTGACAGGGGGGTGGTAGCTGATGCTTTAGAAGGTTGTGGTATTGCCTCAGACACCCTCTTCAGGGCTAAGCATTGGACAAAGACCAGTTCTACCCAGTGTCTGAGTCAAAGTCAGCTGTCATTTTTCTGTGTTGTGGTTGTTTGTGGTAGCCTTGTGGTCTTGTCGCCAGCCGTTTTCATGAACTCCACTCGACCCCCATGCATGCACATCCCAACTCCTGAAACCTTTTCATACACAGCTCTTTAAGGAATTTCTCGTTTCATTTTTTCAAGTGTGCTGTTTTCTCCTGGCCTAGCTCAGCACAGAGCGGAGGAGGAGGAGGAGATCTGTTGTGTTCACACTCAGAGTATGCCAGCTTGCTTCTCCAGGGTGATTCTTCTTTTTATCCTCCTGTAATTTCAAACAGCCTCCCTACTGACCAGAGGAGAGATGGTGACAAAGGTTCCGGGCTAATTGGAAGCGGAGCTAACCCTTGTGACCCAGTGGCGGGAAATGACAGGTGCATCGGTGGCTTTTTCACTTTGCAGAGCAGGTTCTGGTGTCAGCACTTACGGCTTCTGGGAAGCTCTGGGTCTCCTTCTTCCAAAGGCAGGCTCCATGAGACAGAACTGGCATGGGGGGGAAGAGCTGGGATAACAGACGTTGCAGCATCCAAATGTGTTTCGGTGCAAAGTAGACACAAAGTTCATGGCCAGGCCAGAGCCGTCCAGCAGGCCCTCTACACCACCATGCCTGGAGGGGCTTTGGCCATGCCACCCCCATTTGATTCCTCAGTAAAAGACTGCCATTCAGAACATAGCTTAGCAGGTGCGTGTGTGTTTATAAGTTCATGTAAACGTGTGTCCTGTTCCTCTCCTCAAAAGTGGAAACATGCCAAATGTGGCGGACATGTTTACTCCCAGCATTCAAGAGGCAGAGGGCAGGTGAATCTCTGTGACACGGAGGCTAGCCTGGCCTACATGAGTTCCAGGCCAGCTGGGGCTTCAGGAGACCCCGTCTCAAGAAAACAAAAAGGAAACACACATTTCAAGTTCCAGCCTGTTTTTCACACGAGCCATAATGTCAAAATCCCTGTGGTATATGTTTGGTCTGCTATCAAGGCAGGTGTTCACAGGCTAGTCTGAGCTCAGAAATGGATATAAAGCGCTTCCACAAGCACACCTCCACATTTGCAGATAAATTTGCTTTATTTTTCTCTCTTCCTGTCTTCTCTCCTCCTCCCTCCTCCTTCCCTTCTCCCATCCTCTCTGCCTCCTCTTTTCTCCCTCTCCCTCTCTCCACCCCCTTGCATGGTGGTTTTCCCTTAGCCTTTCCCTCAGTGCATGGAGCTCTCCCTTCCCAGTTGCCTCTCTGTGGACAGGTGGCTGCAGCCGCAGCTGTACCACCTGCTCCCTAAGAAAAGGCAGTGAGAAGAGGCCCTAGCCTTGGGCTCATGGGACACCTTACTAGTACCTCAAAATAGGGGACCGTCCTGAGTCCCCGGCCTCCCTCCAGGGTTCAAATGCCTTGGTGTTTGTGGCAGTCTTGGAAGGATGAAGATGATGTGCCCTGCCTTGTCAGGAAACCGGGTAGATCCCAGATGTGTTCCTAACCCACATGGAGGCATTCTTAACTGATTTATGGACTAAGCTTGGCCAGAGCTAGAATATTTCTATTTCCTATATAAGAATTCTAGATTTTATTGGTAGCTGATGACTGCTGGATGAGGAAGAGCGGATCTTCTTAAAAGGAGGTACTCCAGATAGGCTGACTAGATGAACTTGCACTGAGGAACATCTGGGGACATTAATTTGGCATGATAGGCCTTCACACAAATGACAGAATGTGTGAAATCCAGTGGGGATGCTATGGGCTGGTGCCAATGGGAATTAAGATGTTCTGTACGAAATACACAAAGATTCAATAAAAAATTTTTTTAGATTTTAAAAAATATTATTTTTAACAGCATAGGGTAGGGGTTTATTTACAGAAGAGTGGGCGTCCCACAATTACGGCTGTGCTGTTAGGTCCACGCTCAAATACAGATCCTGTGACCTCCCGACAGCTGCACAAAATGGTGAGAGAGGTGCCTCTTGGTGTTCTCAGCTTCTGTATCCTTTGCCCCTCCCCCATGCAGCTAAGGTTGACTGATTGGGTGGGAGGGGCGACTGACTCCCCCCTCAACTCCTTGATGAGTGTGGGAAGGAGGTATGACTATAGCTTGCTGGCATAGTGGTCCGAGGACACTTCCAGTTAACACTCCACCCCTTCCTCCGGCTCTTACATTCTTTCCGCCAACCTCTTCTGCAAAAGTCCCTGAGCTTTGGAGGTGGTGGTAGGTGTGGGTGATCTTTGTCCCGTTGTGGGAAGGCACTGAACTTTTGGGTCTCTGCATCATCTGTTTTCTATGGGCTGTTGACCCATTTCAGTGAGATTCCATCTATACAAACACATAGCTAAACAGTGGCTGCTATAACTTAACCTATGGTGTAACACAAATGCTTGGGCGGTACTTTAGCAGGTGCATCACACCATCTAACAAAGCAATTGCAGTGACTTCCCACTGGGGCCTGTATCCTCCCCTGCCACAGGGGGTTGGTTTGGTCTACAGTACCAGGTGTGTGTTCCACCCCTAGGAGCAGGCATTACATCTAATCAAGAATTTGCTGTTTGTACATACACTAGATGCTCCACTAGTGCACCAGCAGGAACATCTTGTTTGGTATGTTGACAGTGCGACATGCAGGGGCCATCGTTTAGGAGAATTATAGGGGACTGTTCTCCCCGAGTCATCCACGTGTTGCCTTTTGGCACCATGAAAGCCACCCATCCAGTGGCAGGGAGTTTCCAGCTTAGTCCAAGTTTGGTTTCTCCCCCTCCTGTGCTCGTGTCATGCAGTATCTTCAGCAATAGGGTTTTCCATCCACTTCCAGTGTACAACCAGTATTATTGGCAATGGCCTTTATTGTTTTGGGGGACCTCTAGTGTCCCTCAGACCAACAGCTCATAGGGGACAACCCACATCTGGCACTGGGTTTTCATTTAACAACCGTATTGCTTTTGGAAGGGCTTTCCTCCATCCCGGTAGGGTTTCTTCTGTGCTTACGGCTTTTTTTTTTTTACTGTGTGTCTGGAGAATTTTTTCCTCTTTATTCCCACAGCTATTGTACAGACCTCCTCCCCATCCCTTTAACTACCCCCTTTACCAAAGGCCTTGAGGGTGTGTGTTTGTTATTCTTGTGG